TTAACCTCTAGTAGGTTCTAATAGGTTTACCGAGTAACAGTGACGTAGGATGCCACAGGAGGGCTGCAAGTTCAAGGGACCCACAGATAACCTAGAGGGGGAGGGGGCAGCCTAAACCGCTGATGAAAGCAAAGCAGTAGGAGGTCGCAGCACTCCTGCATTTTGAATTCTGCAAGAGTAAGCCCTAACGTCGCGCTTTCTTAAAGACATCCAGTGCAGTTTTTACTTGGAAACCCGATTTTCCAAAGTCAATATTCTTGTCGTTTATCTCCATACTGAGTTGAAACCACACTATCCCAATGTACATTGACCCTCTTGGAGCAAAAATTCCCAAAATTCTGATGGAAAATGGTTACTGGAAGGGCCCTTGGCTAATTTTTGGGGTACCTCACAGAAAATAAAGGACTCATCTTGAGGCTTGTTTCTGCAGTAGTAAAAGCCCAAGGTATGAAATACTGACTCAAATGTGCTAATATGAAGCAGTATGTGTGACTTTCATCAAGGTTACCTCATTCAGAATATTTCCATTTTTTCTGCCATGAAATCGCACTGGATGCCTTTAAATCATGTCTTATATACCAACATATCGTATTTTTACAGGCGTACAAAAGACGACACCCTTAAACAAAAATGCCCAGATGGTGAAAGACTATCCTTTCAAAACGTATGGAGCAATTTTGCTTGTTATACGGATGTTGTATACATGCTGGGGCGCCGTAATCCCGAAGGGTATTGGCCAGGAAAGTGGCGTCATCAATAAATCAGGATCATTTATGGTTCCTGTGCAGTGTTTATTGTTCGCAGAGAAACGCGTCGCCGCCCCAGAAAGACACAGCGAGAGCATCAATCACTCAACACGTCGCTATCATCATCAGGACAAACCTGGAATACACAAAAAACCGTCCAGGCGCTTCCCGACTAGGCCATGTTAATTTGATTATATGGATGACATCCACGCGCGCATGAATTTTCGGCCGTTTCCAAAAAAAAAAGTTTTCAACCATACTGTAAATCGTAAAAACAGTTGCAAAATGAGCAAATATTATCGTAAGTTGCAGAAAAAAAAATATTTGAAACCGACACCAATGTCGTGGAATGCCAAAATCAAACGTAAAAGATGATAATGTAAAGAAATGAATTTGAAGAGTAGATCATTTGCCTTACCATACTCTGTGTCCTTTGTTCAACTTTCATGACCATGTAGATTTCATAATGAATGCAATTTTTTTACCAAACTTTTTTTTTATTCGCACGCTCGCATCAGTTTTGGAGTTCACATGAGGATGACATCCATATGATCAAATCAACATGGCCCTACCGTATGTAGATCGATCTCGCGCAGCGCGTTAATCTTATACGTGATTGTCTGCGAATGCGTGATGGGGAAAATTTACTGCGTTGTTTACGCTATAATGGAAGAGCTGCAATAACCATTTGGAGTTTTAAAGATGTGTGATCAGTATTCCCAGCCAGATTGTTTCACAGACAGTGTTTTGTTTTTCTGTTGCACAGACACATGTTCATTCGACCATAGTATTTTAAAATACTCTTATTTCTAGAACTATTCCTGCTATGTAAACAGATTCGTATCAAAGCACAAATACAATGTGTCATTTTGAAATGAAAACGGAACATCGGCGTAGGGTTTGAGACGGAATCTTGAATCCGTTCTGTCTCATTGCTGCAGTCATAAAATTCTTCGCGGCATGTCAGGGAGGCTAGCATATTAGGCCACAGCAAGTAATTTTTATGGATGACATCAGAGCGCACATATGCATTAATTTTCGCCTGATTTTGAAAAAAAAACAAGAAATTTTGTTGCCTTCTGACAGTGGTCACCATGCCGAAAATGGGCAAAGATGTCTGTTGCCATGCCTGAAGGTGTTTTAGTGTTTTGTTACTTTGATGCAGTGATATGTAATGTTGGCTGTGTCTATGTGATGTTCCCACTGAATCAAAATCATTTGTACAATGATTGAGTCAAAGTTTTAAAATGTCGGAACCTTGTTTTTTTCGGCCCGCCTTGTTTTTGTTTCGCCCGGTCGCATTAGATTTGGAGTCTGCGAGGGATGTCATCCATAAAATTTACCTGCTGTGGCCTTAGCAAAACATTCTCCCAAATTACATCAATGTTGGCAGTTAATGCCGCTGTCGGCCCTGATGAACGTAAAAGTACGTCTGTTGTGAGAAGTCGTGCCTAACACACGACACAGCTTTTTTTTTTCTGAAAAAAATGTATGTAGATGGTAGGCAGCGGCAATTGTATTGAACTACAGGCGCTTCGCATCAAATTGACTGAAACGACGAGAGAGGAATTGTCTAAAAACGTTTTTTTTTCTGGGGTTTGTGAGAACTCCAAAAAGTCTTTTAACTTAGTACAAACATTCGTCTCATGGGGAACCATACCTGGCAAAATGATTACCATGACCATGCAATAGAATCTTACATTAATTTCGAAGGACAAATACTGAAATGAAAACATTAAGTCCCTTTTTAAACTCTGAAATAGTGCGGGTACACTGTAACTCATCGCCATGTCTTTTTGTATGAGCTGCCATGCCATGCCATGCCATGTGAACATGGTGTTGTCGCTAGCTTGCTCGCCATGTGCATTGTTGGTGCGCTTCATTCCGTGCAGCGGCGAACCGCTCTTTTACAGCTGCGATATTAGGATGGACCCTGCGGCTGACTGCCGTTTGCTGCAGTTCAAACCTGACTAGACCAGCACTTTCTTAGAAGCCACTCTGGTTTATCGATCATACTTGGGACTTTGCCTCTGTTAGTTTTCAACTGTGATCCAAAACCATTTCTACTACCCCCTTTTTCATATTAGAACGACCAATGAGAACCTTAGGAACATGTGACGTCAGCAAAAGGTCTATTAAAGCTACCATGGAACTACTGACGCGATGTTTCCCTAAGAACAATTGTGATTGGTCGTTCGTGACGTTTCCCTAAAATCACTTGTGATTGGTCAATTCGAAGGCAGTCTCAAAGATGGCCGAAAACTCAATGGGTTGGTTCCTTTCGTGTTGGAACACAGTACAGCTATTAACCAAGCTGGTTTAGCGTTCTCGGCAAACGCTGTCTGCCCACAAAGTGCATTCGCGTATAGCAGCAGCCATCTTGGCTAAAATTCTACGCCGAACCAGAATTAACCAGCGTCTTCGTGATGTCGTATTTTCTCCTGACCCGTGACCTTGACCTGTGACCTTGACCTGTGACCTGCATATTCCATATCAAATTGTGGTATCCCTCCGCAATATCCCTCTAGAAATATGGATATAGAAAAAAAAACTACCGACGAATACATGCATGAGATGTATGTATTTCTCAGTCAGATACAGGTCTAGATCTCTGGTCACACAGTGAATACGGCATCGCAAAGAGGCCTATCTTCATGTGTTAACCTTGTAACCTACTGTGCTTTTTAGGCTTTAATAGCTTAACTTTGTTTCGCCACTCTCAAGTTTTGCCAGTCTCCTACTAACAGCATGTAAGCTATAGAGCACAGACCACCATTTCCAACCCCCATTGGAGTATATCTAAGAACTTAGCTGTCAAAAATCACCTACTTGAGTGTTCAACTATTGCAAACTCACATAGACAGGGTACCCCAACCTCCAAATTGTCCATTTAGTCCAAAAAATCTAATTTTCTAATCAGTGGAAATAAGTACGATAGATGAAAATACTGAGACCTCTGACCTACTGTACGCCACCAAAAAACAACAACTTTGCATTACTTTTAGAGCTCTACCAGGCAGTCAAGACAAGACTAAAAGCCTTTTTTGTCCACAAGATAGAAAGAGAAATAACTCTCCAGCTGGAAAATGCCAGCATTTATCCAGTCACATCCCAAGAAAAGGGCTGTTTTCAGTTGGGTTGGGTACTCAAAATGGCCGCCTTCTGCGCCTGCGGGAAATGGTGACCTTTGCCCTGTAGGATTGCAATGTACTCTGTAAGCAGTGCGCATGTCGAAGGGACAGGGTAGTGCATTCGGGAGTGGCTCTTACATGGAAGCATGGATTTTCAGTACTAAATCATTTATGTTTGACAGAATTTGATAAAAAAAGAGAGAGAATGACCCATGTGTCAGCAGAGAATATTGTATTTACCTGTAGAATCAATGAAAACAATAACCAATTTTACAACAATTACAAATTCCAATAAAAAGGTCTACCGTTGGATTATTTGGGCCCATAGTCTACTTTGGCCAATGACTTCTTGTTGTCAAGTACATGCTCGTTGTCATTTTCAAGGCATAGTCTCGAAAATTATGTACCCAGTACGCATGAAGTCAAACATAAAAGCAGGACCACTGAAAATTAGGTCATCTATTTGAGAGTCACCTCTGAATTAGTGCCCTATTTCTTTGTATGCTACAATTTAAGATTCAATTGCTTTTGCTTGCTTATTGCAAATGTTTAAATGCATTTTATACATTGTATTGTGGCTGTGTCTTGTCATTCGCTTTGGTCACATGGAACTATTGGAATTGCTCCGAGCTCCAGTAATTCCATTGATCAAAACCCTTTTCACCAACTGCCTTTCACCTACGATGCAATTTCCCAACAATTCTAACTTCTGTCAGTCCTTAGGGGCATTCGAGTTTGAAACTGGTGAACTATAAAAACATCCAGATCTATGCTATAGTTAGCCAGGCATTTGAATTCAAACGCTTTTTGCAAGTCCGCTACGCAACGGATTGGAATTCACCACCTTAATGTATTAAAGACAGACGTTTGCATCATATATAGTTGGTAGTAGGTTTGATCAATGGCAATTACGGCGAAGCTCACCCCTTATTGTATAGATCTGAGTACATCCAGTTTTTTCATGATAGAAAATGTTAGCAAAGCATTCCAGGTTCCATGCTTAGTTTTTTTGAAAAAAAAAAATCAATGTACGTGATCGTAACTTCAGCCCCATAGAATATTCATTGCTTAGAAGGACGAGTTAACTGTTGCATTCCTTGTTATGTCTTTCCCACCCACTCAGGATGAGGTAAGACAGTCGTAGTCCCTGGTGACTCGCACGATTTCATCATCTCCTCTAGACTAACAGGTTTAAGCTCTAGTTAGTAATAATGATAATAATAATAATAATGATAACACACTAAACAACTAACCAAGTTTAACCAGAACTGTCACGACCAATGGGATATGATGTTGAATCCCTTTGAGACATTGCCTTGTGTCAACTAGACACCCATAATCACAGTCAAGTTGATTCTCAGAAAAAGATTCAGAATAACATCTACTAACAATGTTAATATTCTTACCACTGTTTTATAACATGCATTGCAGTTGCACACTTTAACAATGGTAGTCTAGAAATAAAAATAAAGTCTAGAAATATGCCTGCTTGCCACATACATATTGAATTGGACATTCGGTACATTTCCTCTGTAGAATTAGATTTTATAGCAAATTATTAAGGTGGGTGTTTACACACACACAAACAAACAAACAAACACACACACACACACCTGTTAGAAATGGAAAACAAATTCTAACGGGCTAATTGTAGCTGTGCATGTCAAACATAGACTCAAAGATGTTTTGCTTCCATGTCTTACAGCAACCATCCGACCAAGAGATCTCGGACATGAGGGAAGCTATTATGCTTAAGTTCGATGACAACAAGGACGGCAGAATTTCGATGAACGAGGTAAGAGCTACAACTAACAACAGTTAACGTTAGAACGTTGATTACGGTTGAGTGTTCGAAACATTTGATAATCTTAATTTTTATCATGAATGTTCATCTGGGTTGGGGGTAAGTCATATCATAGTAAAATGACTTTTTTAAGAGGCATTAAGCAGGCCATATATATCAGAGCACTTCAGCTATCCCTTAACAGAGACGGTGGACGACATAAACTCCCTGGCACTTTTGATCAACTTCTGACATCACGTATCCGTAAAGTCTCGTGCGAATAAGGTCACGTGTCTGTAACCGTAAGTCTCGCGAGATCACGTTTTGAAGTGATTGGTCATTAATTATCCTGATGAAGGCGACAGTGGTCGCTGAAAATTAGATCTCTGTTTAATCTTGAATAAACTTAAACATTTTATTAATCTTAATATTTGTTACATTTGTTGTCAAATAAAGGGCCAGTAAAGCTGAAAATTACAGGATCTTACAACTTAATACCTTATACAAGGATATTTCTGAACTCTTTACAGATGTCGTCTATCCTGCCCATGGAGGAAAGCTTCCTCTTGCTGTTTCGCCAACAGGTCGGAACTAGTGTTGAGTTTATGGAGGTGAGTTATATTTCCTACACTCTACCTTTACGTTATTCATGGCAGCCGATGTAGGAGCGTTGTTGTCTTGGTCGTGGTGACATCTTGTGTGGCTGTGAAGTTTGACGACAATGGATGGCTTTCATACGATACCTGATGTTGCATGTGCAGCGCTTTGAACTACCAAGCCTTCTCCATTTGGTGCTGGATTGTTAGCCTATGTAACCCAAGCTCCGAGGGGCTCCCTACATAGTCCGGGGGCCGGCTGGATGTTGGGCGGCCGGCAAAAGCGATTTAATCAGGCTACTGGATTGTATGTTGCTACATTAGTTAGTTACTTGTACGTACCATCATTTTAATTTGCAGTAACGCAAGGTAGCGCATTCCTATTTCTTATTGCTCTCTACTCCGTCTTCACAACACACGGTGGTCATCGTTCCACGTCATGAGTCACCCCCCACCCCCTCGTACTAATGCTTAAGTAGTTTCTTGATGATACAGGACGTACTGCTTACTTCTGTACACTCCATACGCCTTCAGGTCTGTCTGATGTGGTTCTGAAGTTGTTTGCCTGTCTGCAGGCAGCAATATCCGCTAACAATCAATCACGTTTTAAAACAGGAAACTAGAAAGTCGTTCTTCCACGCCGATACGTCAACTGGCGTCACCAATCCCCGTGTAGGCGTGAGCGGCGTGCTTTGTGCAAACTTTACGGGGAACCCGTTCCAAGACATAGATCAATGTCCTGGCGACGCCAACGTGGCCGACTTCCCCACCGCGTGTGCCTCCGAGTCCACCGCTCCCCGCTTTGAAACACTCCCGCGGATCGAAAGACAGATGGATGGGCTTTAGACTAGCATTATCAGAAAAGTGTTTAATCAGTGCAGGTAGCGTTACGGGAAGATGGCCGCTGATCCTCCTTTGAGCTCGTCTGTCTCAAGAGGCCGTCCGGAACCTTTTTGATTGTCCTGAAGGATGGCGAGTCAATCCGGGTAAGAGCACACGCCAAAGGGAACCTTGCGTTGAAAGCTTACGCAGCGAAAAAGTCTATGTGCCCATTACAGATCCGAAATTGCCCCCTCGGAATAACTTTAAACTTCCCTGCATCTTTGTGCTTCACCGACTAACGCGACAAATTGCTCAAAAAGCCTCTCTAATGACTGAGGATGTAACTCTGCATTTGCACTATCCGTTTCAAAGTCCGTTGTAATTTTAGTGACGTCACTCTGTTCCTCCTCTTCATCTACAAGTTGATAGTTTGATCTACACGGGAACGACTGTTCACTTGGCATGATGGAGTGAAAATGGCAGAAACTTCGAAGATAGCCGGAAGCGGATTTTCAAGTCATCACAGTAAACCATTCAGTAGGCGGACAAATCATATACTTCCGGTGGGAGATATGAAGAGGCAGATACTCAACTCTTTTTGCCCGTAAGGCCATAATGATTTGATTATATGGATGACATCCTCTGGGAACCCCAAAACTGATGCGAGCGTGCGAATAAAAAAAAGTTTGGCCAAAAAAGTTGCTTTCATTATGAATTCTACGTGGTCATGAAGGTTGAACAAATGACACAGAGTATGGTATGGTGAATGATGTAGTCTTCAAATCAATTTCCTTACATTTTCGTCTTTTTCGTTTGATTTTGGCATTCTACGACATTGATACCGTTTTCCAATGTTTTTTTTCAACTTACGGCATATATTTGCTCATTTTGCAACTGTTTTGTACGATTTACAGTTTGGTTGAATTTTGTTTTTGGAAACGGCCAAAAATTCATGCGCGTGCGGATGTCATCCATATAATCAAATCAACATGGCTTAATGTACACTTGATATGCGTAGAAGGACGGCTTCCACAAATGTCGTTTACTTCATTGGATCCAATGTTTAGGCCCGAGGAAGGAGTGAAGGGTGATTTCAAAGCTTTTATGGTCCGGTAGATCTGCTTACCTTGGACAAACACTACCAGTCTTGTATTGACCTGCTAACACGGAACAGCCAGTAGTGGAATGTAGATCTTTGCAGCTGACCGCAATAGTTATCAGATGGAATTTCTCAGGTTTCATCTTGCCAATGACAATTTAATAACAATGAACATTTAAAAAAGCTTTTCTTTCGCAAATCAAATTTCATAAAGAAGCAAAATACTTTAACTTCATCCTGTTTAATGCTGAGGTCACATTTCCAAACCGGGGGCTGGCCTGGCTGTTTCGATTAAGAAAAAATCAACAATTTATATCAATAATATACGCATTATTACTCTTTTTCGCTTTGTTGTCTTTTATATCATACTTTTCGTTCCATAAGACTGGCCGGCCGGGCCCCGGTTTGGAAATGTGACCTCAGCATAAGAAGGAGGTGAGTAAGGTTAATGGAGGGGGAGGGGAAGAAACTGACAGGAATCTTCATCAGAATATGGTGACGTAACCCCAGATGTGTTGAACGCTCGGATAGAATCATTCTATGAAATGTCGACATCGCGTATGTACGACAATCTAAAATCCATTTAAAACTATTGGGGTCAATACCACAATAACAAAATTTGACACGTCTTTCTACAAATACATCCAAGGCTCATGCTCCAGACTTCGTGTGAACTGTGGTAAATTCGCGGTTGCAAACTGTCCTCATTCACGTTAGCATTTTAAGCTCTGGTTGGGTTAATGCAGAAGCCGAACACCCACAAATGAAAAGACCTTTCTGTTGTTGTCGCTCACTCAACCGAGGTGCGTTCCCCGCGAGTCGCCAGTGGTGCATTGGATCGATAAAAAGACACTTATGCGTGCCCTTCAAATTCTCACCAAGGTTACAATTTCTTGGTCACGTTATTTCCTTGATTCCCAAGTGACCTAGATATAAAAGTGGCACTTTATTTGAATATAACGTAATGATAGCTGCTCTTCCCTCGGATTTAGCATGGTTCTTACACACCCATCGGTAGCCTGTGGGCGTGTTTGAAACATTTTGTTTTCCATCAGTTGATATTTAAGAAAAAGTTGAATATTCTACTACATGTATGGTAGTAGAATACTACTCTGCTCCACTTCCCTTGGATTTAGCATAATGCTTACACACTCATTGGCAGTGTTTGGGCGTGTTTGCAACATTTTGTCTTCCATCAGTTGATATTTAAGAAAAGGTTGAATATTCTACTACATGTATGATAATAGAATACTACTCTACTCCACTTCCCTTGGATTTAGCATAATGCTTACACAGTTATCGGCAGTCTGTGGGCGTGTTTGCAACATTTTGTCTTCTATCAGTTGATATTTAAGAAAAGGTTGAATGTTCTACTACATGAATGGTAGTAGAATACTACTCTGCTCCACTTCCCTTGGATTTAGCACAATGCTATCACATTCATCGGTAGTCTGTGGGCGTGTTTGCAACATTTTGTTTTCCATCAGTTGATATTTAAGAAAAGGTTGAATATTCTACTACATGTATGGTAATAGAATACTACTCTACTCCACTTCCCTTGGATTTAGCATAATGCTTACACAGTTATCGGCAGTCTGTGGGCGTGTTTGTAACATTTTGTTTTCCATCAGTTGATATTTAAGAAAAAGTTGAATGTTCTACTACATGTATGGCAGAATTAATTCATAGGTAGCTTCTCAGCTCGTTTCATAAAGGTTTTAGGGGACAATGACGAAGATTTGGCGTGCACTGGCCGGACTGTACAATAGCACTCCAAGCATGTAATTCAACCCGAATTGCTCCCCTGAAGTATGAGGTTCAGCCACTGCGGAGCTGCATGTTGGACTGTTTTCCCTGTCCATAAACCGCTGTGTTCCCAATATCGATTTTTGTGTGGGGGGGGGAGGGGCGCCTGGAAGAACGGCGATAGCGCTTGGCATTTTCGTCTGTCCTCCCCCTCTCGGTGACTTACAGAAGTAATATGAGGGTCTTACGAGAATGCCTTGATCGAGATATAATCTGTCAAGAGAGAAAAAAAAGACGTAGTTTCTCTACAGCTTCGCAGCCACCTCATCCTGTCATGATTATCAAGAAAGTTTGTTAATCATGGGCCATGATTAGACAAGGGCCTTGCCTAATCATGTACCCGGCGTACGCCAGGGTACCGCGATTAACAAGGAGTTCGCCCCAGAGTACACTCCATAAATGCATTGCGCGCGGTTCGGCTGGCGGGATGACCCCACAGAGGTCAACTGCAGGCAATATGGCGGCCGTGTTTACCGGTGTGGCTGGCTTCTGTACGCTTGGAAATACACCTTCCCAAACATACGTTTTCTATTGTACAGGTAAGTTGCTCCAGGGTGAAGGGTTGACCCGTTGGACAAGACCGATTTGACCCTCGGATCTAGTAGTAGTTACGAGTAGTTGAGTAGTTTCTAGCCAGGAGGTAACAGTTATACGTTACATGACTAGGCCATGATACTAGTATTCTAATCATGAAATTTTGCGTGTAGCCATCCCTATCCCCGACCGGCTCCAATGGTGATAAGCCATGTAACCAGTATGACATTTGGCCTATTTCTTGAATTGGCCCGCAGATAAGATACCACACATAGTTTTTTTTAATTTTATTTCGCATATAGTGACACAGGAAATACACACTCACTAGGTCTAGTACTAGTAGGAATAGAAGAAAAGCCTGAAAATTACGTTTGAAATTATGTTTGAAATTAGTGTATCATGTGTCGTAGGTGCACTCATGCCAAAAGCCAAGTCAGTTGCTTTTATTAGGTCCATGCTTGGAAAAGACCAGATGTAGAGTATACTGTAGGTCATATCTGTGTGGCCCTTTTATCTGGGACCAGATAAGGCACCTTACAGGTACAGTGATATCTGCATGGCCCTTTCGTCTGGGGACCGGGAAAGGCACTGTTCAGGCAAGGACATTATACACTTCTGTATATAATGTCATTGGTTCAGGTGTTAGAAACAGGAGGAGCGAGTAGAAACAGTAGCCACGCCGGCAAACTGTAAACTGGATGGCTAAACTCCCTCGGCGTGTTATCTCTCTATTTGGCCAATTTCTACTATTTCCAGCTGTGCCCTCAAGCCTGGTAGAGGCTATAGAAACAGAAAGATACTCTCGGGCCGGGGTTCGAACCCTCGACCACCTGAGCACCAGCTTCATGACCCAACGCTCCTACCGAATTGGCTAAAATGTCTAGACCCATCAGCCGGGTCAGTTGGTAGCGCGTGCCCCACTGTTACACTCCCATTTTTCTTGTCAAGATTCGTCCTCGAATCTTCCGAATTTGACATCCCAGGAGCGGCACACTGTGCCAGTACTCCCAGGGCATGTGTGGGAACCTGTAAGAAATAAGAGGAGCGAGTAGAAACAGAAAGACACTCCTGGTCCCGGGCCGGGGTTCAAACCCAAACCCGGACACCAGCTTCATAACCCAAAGCTCCTACCGCATCGGCTAAATAAGGTCTAGACCCATCAGCGGGGACAGTTGGTAGCTTCCCCCCCCC